GGTTCAGGCAAGTCGTGAATCCTGTTTGCTTACTCCTCCGAAGGCGGAGGAGGGAGCGTTCGTTGATTGCCTGGGCTTAAACACGGTCGGACTATTTGTCTGTTTGCCATATGGGTCCATCAGCCATGGTACTAAGTTCAATCGATGGTGGGTTTCCCAAGTAAACGATCCAGTCCGGGACGAGACGCCCGGGTAGCCAGCCGCCATCAAGCAATCGATCGCTCGATCGGTCTGCTTTAGGCTGTCACCTTGTCTGTTTACCGAGATATACACACATACAAGCAAGAACAAATATGCAGCCTCGTATTGAAGCAGAGATACACACTGCACGTTCCGAAATCCATGCGAAGGTTTAGGCCTCCCAGATTATTCCTGATGCTGACAATTTGGCAAACAACTGTAGAATTGATTACAGCAGCACAGCACAGCACACAAACGCATACATATACAAACCATACCATGCACAATCGCGTGGCGCGACGGAATCCCCAAACACCAAAACACGGAGATGTAGTCCGGCTTGGTCACGGGGTGCACGAGAATGTTTCCGCACGCAAAACAGCATTTTAAAGGCACCGTTTAGTGGTCTGGTGATATTAAAGGGACATGTTTGATTCCTAATCACTGATTAAAGATCTCGAGAAATGTTCGCAGATGATCAAAAAGATTGCGAAAGCACAATTTTAGGGTGTAATGCAAACAAATGACACTCAATGCACACATGGTATAACTGAAACCTATCTGGTTAACACCGGCACCTAGAAGGTACACACAACTGCTTTCGTTCGCATTGTACTGATTTTGACAATATTTATTTTATGAACCCGGATATCCAGAAATATAAACGGGATTCATGAATATTTTGATTGTGTATGATCTTTTTAATAAACTTCTATGCTCCATGAGAATTTATTTAACGATGCGCAATGTACCAAAGAACGAATCCTGATCAATGTCCTTGCAATACAAATTTGCTTAAAGCGTGCATCTGTTTAGTATAAACTCGAATAGGCTTATCGCGCTTATAGCAAAATGCCATTTCGGACGTTTGCTTTTCAGTTGCCGTTGTGCCCTGGGATGTCAAAGCGCGTGTAAACAACGCATATTTTCACCTCAAATGTGGGCGTTTTAGAACGACGTGCCCATGTTAACCATGTACCTGCCTACGCCTCATTTATGAGGTCATTTTCAGCGGAATGCATGTCAGGTGACTACGTTTGGCGTTGGGTTTTGGTTCTTCTCATTCATGTAGCTTCTCAAATGTATGAATCTAGCTTGAATAACCGATTATTTACATGCATTACCAATAAACTGTAATTTTTGAAATTATCGCCATTTTCAGAAGCAATTTTCTTAAATCATGGTGGTTCTTCGTCAAGGGATACCGCTCTTCTTGAGGATTTATTGATATTCTGACCCTTTCATTGCACCGCAAATCATTTTTCATTGGTCATCATAAGCACGACAATTAAACATAGTTGTTCGAGTGGGAATCGACCATAAATACGTCCCGATTGGTGTTTTAAAGCGTAGGCAGGCACAACGATGAACAACCACAGCATTCTTGAAGACGCCCACACATCGACCAAAACGAATGTTGATTGATTATGCTTGCTTTAATGTCCCGGTGAACCGGGAAAATCGAAAACAACATCTAATCTCGATTTAGAATGGAACTAGGGAAAATCAAAAATTCGTTTGACGTTGACAACAAACACACGAGACCTGAAGGATATCTTGAATTATTCAATGCGTGCAGTATGTTCATGTTCTTACATTAAATGGCACATAAATGCTGACTTTTTCACCATCAGTCGTTTCGTATATGTGATCCAGTAGAACGAAGAATTATTTCATTTTGAACTCATATATCTTTGTAAGCTAAATATGTACATGATCTATTTTCAACTCATTACAATCGTAATACACATACAAGTAACAAGCGGTTGAAAAGGCGAATCCTACAGTCACCAGGAGCTGCTGTTTAAAATTGAAAGCCACCAGAACAGCCCCTAGGATTTCGGGATCTGGACCGTATAAACCCTAGCAGTCTAACTCAAACGTAATTGATTTGTATTCAATTTTAACCTCAGCAGTTAAGTACACTTGGGAGCAAGTGATAACAAATGAGACATCGAATCGAATACCACCTCGTAAATACCTGACAAAATTGATTGCCATTCGTTGGTTATTCCTAATGTTACTTTAACGCGACATAATTGACCGTAAAGCTTACCTAGTCTATACCGAATTAAGAAAGAGTTCAAGTGGATCAAACTAGAGAGGTGAGATAATGGAAAGAGGCTTACAGTGGGTTATCCTCAGAAGTCGTTTCGAAACACATATTGATGATTATATTGGTGTCTGCGGCCATTGTCAGAATGTGATTTGAGATACGGCGCGATTATCAACCGTGGAGCCGCATGATTCTGATTTTTCTATATTATGATTAAACATGACACGTGGGTGATGAGTCATTACTAACCGTTAG